CTAGGATAAAGAATGGGAAAAGCTTCAGGCAAACATGCCAAATAGTGTTGGGGGTTTTTGTTTTTTGGTTTTTTGGGGTTTTTTTTAATTATTTAATGAAACTAGATGAGCCTTGGGTTTTTTTCCCTGCCAGTTCTGCCTCAGTGAGACTTTTTTCCTTTGAAAGGGATGCATAAACATTTTTAACTGTGTTGCTGAATTAACCAGTCAAGATTAATGCTGTGGAATTTGTAATGCTAGCATGACTGGAGAAGAGTCACTTACATCAGAGGCTTTTTAAATATGGTTTGCAAGTACGAATTCAGTTCTGCAGTTCTTAAGCTGTTTCAAAAAGCAAAGCTGGGTACGTAGATTCGAGCTCGTACCTTGTGACTTGTACCAGCAATATGAGACAACATGTGTTTCATCTACTTGGCAACAAAGCTTTTATTTTTTCTTTTTTAAGTGACTAAATAGTGCAATACTTCTGAAGGTCTCAGCACTGAGGGAAAATTATGACACTTATTTAAGTGTTTGAATATGCAGTTAAGCATCTAATTTTAAACCTGCACACTCAATGGTATTGGACTTTGCTACAAAGTTATTTCCTTTTTATGGTATCTGCCAGCTGCTGAAGTATGCATTAGTACATTTGACATATTAATACGTTCTAGTAGTGGGGGTACCTGCTCAAACAGCAGCTAAATGATCACAAAATAGATGTCCGAGGTGAAATCGGAGACTGCAGTAAACAAGGGAATACTGCTTGCCGTTATCATTTACTGACAAGTGAAATCCCCATCTCAATCCCCCAATTGAAAAACTGGACCAATTGGTGAAGCCCTTACAGTCTCATCACCCAGCATCCCCTCTCATCAACTACCACATGCATTATTTTCTTTGGTCTTTCTGATGTTTTTTTCAGAGTCATTTTTGTCAGGATTGTAGTAAGTTCCTGTAATTCTAAATAAGTATATTCTGACTTGCTCATAAATTAAAATAAAATAGTTATCTATTTCTAACACACTCTAGCATACCTGGTTATAACGAGACACAAGCCTTTCCCAGTTACTGAGTGGAGCTTTCTCCCTTGTCTTTGAGCTGATCTGAAGCCATGAAGGTAGCTGTGTACTGTCTGTGCACGCTGAATTGCTGTGGGCACTCCCCAGGTACTGCAGTTGCTGGCCTTTGCTTTACAATATCGCATACCCAGCACTCCCTTGCCAGATTCTGTACACTATATGCTTATTGAGATGGCATTTGAATATAGTCCAGTTATTCCTGGTGGGGAAGTTTGTTAT